GCAGGAGGAAGAGCATGAGAAGCTGGCCATCCTGTTGAGGCATGTCATTAGGGACTGCTCCTGGGACTAAGGGCTTCAGGATTAAGGCTATCTGGAAACTGCATCAGAATCTGGCCAAACCTCTTGACCTACAATATTAAGACACCCTTCTTACATACAGTCCAGCGCATCCACTAGCCCCGCAGTCTGTAAAAGCCACAACGACCCCTCCTCACGAGTGGTGCATCCTGCTCAGATGATGAGAACATAAAAAAAAAAACCAGGTGATTGTAAGGTGGAAACATCTCAGAGGATTTCAGGACCTTCTGATGTGTTCAGTCAAGGTTGAGGATCATCGCCCACACAGTGTAATGAGGAGCAGGTGGGAGCAACAGGTTATTTTCACCCATCCATAGTGAAACTGGGCCTGATTCTGCAAGGTACTGAACGGGAGGTCAGCTGGGACTGGGAGGTCCTGAGACCCTTTCAGGAGTTGCTGTGCTCTTGCCTGGTGACAGGAGGAGAGCCCCTCTTGGCTTTCCAAGGCATGGGTCCAGATCTGAGCATCCCCAATGGTCTGTACGCTTAAAGGAAATCCAGTTCATCTGCCATGTATTAGAAGAAGGATGATAAACAGCATAGGTTTTTTTTAAAGTAAACTGGAGGCATTATTAGCAACCTGCCCAAGACTCAAAGTGCCTCTCTATCTGTTACAGACTGGCCACCGTAACTTGGGCTCTGTTAATGAGGTGAGAAGTCACTGCCAGCTGAGTTTTTTTTTGTAGGGAGCACGACCAAATCCGATTTTCTCTGCAGAAAAGATGGAGCAATTAGTTTAAACAGTCAAATTGCTGCAAAGCCAAAATCTAGGAAAATGTTTGTGAGAGACACTAAAGCAAAGCAAGCTCAGCTCCGTGCTTCTCTGCTTTCTGATCCTGCTCTTAAAGCACCCAATATCCTTCTCATTGGTTTAAAAATAATTCCCTTAGGTTTAAAAATAATCCTGTTCCCGCACTTCCTCTTCTGAGCTCGTCCGTGATGCAAGCTGGAGACTGATTTTGGCTGTGTTTTCCTCCCTGCCCTTGCATTTCCATCCATCATGGGTGCATACGCTGGTTCTCTCTCTGTATCCCTTATATTGAAATACCAACGTATTTTACTGTAATGGCCCAATCTGCTGATAACAGAGTGACTGCAGGGCTACAGCATCCCATCTTGGAGTGTGGGAGGTTTGTTCATGAAAGGTGTTCCTGCTGACGCGGAGCTGAACGGAGGCTTGCTCCAAATTCTCCATAAAAGGCATTTTGCTGTAGTAAGGGTTTGAGGGGCTGCTTCTGTGAGCTGCTAGACAGAGCGGGTTGAGAAGCAGCCTACCCCCACATCAGTAAGCAATTCATCCGGTTTGCTGTGGATTATTCCCCCCCCACCCACGCCCCCCCAACATACACAAACCGTTGATGTTTTCCCAGGTTTTTCACCAAAATTACTTTATGTTCTCATTCATTCGATTCAAACCAAAATACAGAAGATTGGTTTTGCACTTTCAGGGCCCCGTGCCCTGTTCTCTACCTTCCCTCCCCCTGGTATCGTGTA